AACGATGTAACATTTTTGAGTCTACGACAAAAGGTGCACGAGTTACGGCCAAAAATGACAACATTACTACAACTGTAACTAAAACTAAAATAGATAACTAATACAAATCAAACTACATTAGTTTATCAGTAATCCTAAAAAAAATAACACTGAGCCAAACACACATGCTAAAATAACAACAACTTACTGACACATAGTAAGAAATGGTTATATAAAAAAGCCGGTGTCCCTGCCTGGTGGAGTCGCACGGTAGAGTCGATGGTCTTTACACTCTTCGGTCTTACCACGACCGCAGCCGCGACCGCGACCGCTTCTGCGGTAAACTAAGCTTCTTTTATATTCGTTTAACAAAGCTCAAATTGAATTCAGCTGGACACACTTTCCTGTTTATCACAACAAATGGCCAAGCAAAGCGCACAACACTGACAAGGTACACGATACAGTACGAGACCCTGTTTATTGGTGTGTAAATAAACAAACCGTGTAAGTGCGCTCTCTGATAGCTTTTGCATGAGCACATTTCAGTATGTTCACATGTCTGGCAAGTGTTTTAAAATGGACACTCGCTGAAGAAGCGTGTTTTTTAGGAGTTTGCTATGGTCAGTGGTGTTTATATACATATGGGCATCAACACTCACTCTGACAGAAGAACTGTTCACTTGTCATATTCAGAATGTTTTTATTAGTTTTTTTTTATTTGTGTTTTGCTCCGTTTAATAATCCTGAATGGATCCGTATATATTTATATACAGTCAGGTAAAGGTGTCTGGTATAGTGGTCTGTAGGCATCTCCGTGTGGTCCTGCTAGTCATTAAGGTGCTTCAAGGTCATTAAAGGTGCAGTAGGAGATCTCAGAAAATGCTAACTTTAGCCTGATAGCACTGAAAGCGAACGTCTCACTCTCCCTGCAATCGCCGTCCAAAGCCACGACCCCTGAACGCACATACGCTCACAGAGCAGAATACCAGAGATAACATTAAATTACTACAATAGGCTACATAAGCAGTTCCCAATTACAGTCCTCACGCCCTCCCCGCACTGCACATGTATATGTATATCTTATCACTTCCAACGTTTGTTCTATTCGACTGTAAGACATATAAGTGCCCTGCGAAGTGGACATTACTGGATATTCCGCCATGATTCCAGTTCGAAGCGAGCGTATATGTTCCATACAAAGGGCGTTAAAGTGTGGGAGACGTAAATTTAAATAGTATTTATTTACAGATGTATATTATGTCACACTTCACACTTCTCTAGTAAGCTTCGTCTGTTTGTGAAGATGCTGCGCAGCACAAATTTGTGAATGAATGTTCCGAAGTGAAGTAAACTTCAACGGATTTCCCATGCTCAGGGAGTAAGGAGCAATGAACACTGTGTAGGGAGCATGTCAATCGGAACACAGTTCATGCACTTAGCTCTCTTCTAACAAGTTGGTTATCTGAATCGGGTGTGTTAACTAAGCGAGACGTGCAAAACATGCAGAGCGGGGGGGGCGCAAGGACTGGAATTGGGAACCGCGCTGGGCTACATCATGTGTCATTCACCGGTGAGAAAACCTTATAGTACAATTAGTAAAAGTACTACAGTACCAGGAAGGAAGATTGGGTTGTTGATGTTTGTCTGAATTGTTGTTAATAAGCAGATTTTTATATTTATTTATTTTTGCAAAACTGACTAGAAAACAGTATGAAAGTATTACAAGTTAAATCTAGTGTAGCGTCAATTCTGTCGGGTCATATTAAGCCTGGAATACACTACACAATTTTTGCCCTGATTTTCCTGCTGATTTACAGTCTGGAGAAGTTGATTCTAGTTGCCGAAAGTCAGAGCCAGTCTGCAGATTTGAGTTTACAGATTCCATAGAAAATCACATAGTGTATGCTGTTCACAGACTCTGATTTTTTTTAGCTTCAGACTCTGATTCACCCCATCGGAGGATATCAAACATGTTTGATATTTTCAGCCGATTTTAGAACACATATTTTTTTTATTTGTTAATGCGTCTCCTAGCAACAAGGCATACGTTTCTGCGGGAGTTTTTTGTGATCGGAACGACTTTAAAGTCTTCTAGTGTATAATATTCAGTCGTCTAGTGTATGGTAGCCAATTTTCCTGTCACTATTTACAAAGTCAGTAAGTGTATGAAACCTAGTGTTTTAAAAATCTGTTGAGATTTTAAAAGTCATGTAGTGTGTTCCAGCCTTTAGTCAAGCTCGCATCAGCTAATGCTCAGCTCATTCATGTCTACCTATAAGAATGCAACGCCTATCACATCATTCCAATTTAAGTTACCTGTTCAGTATCCTCTAGCTGTTTTCATTTTGCTGATCATGAGCTAATTACCCTCCTCCATCCTCAACTCCACCTCTTGTCCACAGTCAGGATTTGACTTCTGACATTTTCTTGATAGTATTTTAATAAAGAACATTAATGTTTTTCTGATATCATTAATATTGCTGCAATTCTAACAGTAACATACTGTTTTTCCATTAAAACAGTAATATACCTTTTAAAACAAGGCATTCTGGGTAACATTTGTTGTTTTTGATAAAGTAGCCTACACTGTAAAGAGTCAGCATACTGTTTGAATCTCAACAATGATGACAATCAACAATGTATTCAGATAAGCATTTCAACTTGAACATCACAAAACAAGCTACTAAAAACTCAAGAACAGCAGCAAAAATAAAATAAAATGAAGAAAATACTAAGACAATTCAGCTGCATATTTTATTCATGCCGCAATGCATGCTGGGAACAACGAATGAGTCATGTACTATGCCGCCACCCAGCATGCATTGTGGCATGAAGCTTTGTTGACTCAAATAAGTTCAGATTACAAATATGCTCACATTATAAATATTAGTTTAGAAGCATAACTGGCAGTTGGCAGTCTGTTTTTACAAAATGAAAAAAAAAAAGTTTTAATTTAGTGCATTACAGTGCATTTAGTGCCTCACTATCAGCACTGGTGCCCCTCAGGGTTGTGTTCTCTCCCCACTGCTCTTCTCCCTCTACACAAATGACTGCACATCTAAAGACCCCTCTGTCAAACTCCTGAAGTTTACAGACGACACCACAGTCATCGGCCTCATCCAGGACAGCGACGAGTCTGCTTACAGACAAGAGGTTGAGCAGCTGGCTGTCTGGTGCAGTCACAACAACCTGGAGCTCAACACGCTCAAAA